TGTTCCTACTTGTGCCCTGAAGTATGTATCTGTGTCTGGCTCATGTCTCTCGGGTTTTCCCCTCTTCAGACGCCATCTGGAGTATTGTCCCCATTCCTGGGGTTAAATTTTAGGCAGGGCTCTGGGCCAGGAAAGCGTGACACGGATGGTGAGGAGATGTGGAAAAAAAAACAACACAAGGATCAGTTAGAGAGTTGAGGAGGTTTAATCTGGAGAAGAGAAAACTTAGAGTAGATATAATCATTGCCTTGTTTTAAAAAAATAGTTTATTATTATTGTTTCTGTTTTTTCAATTAAGCATTTAAAAAAATGTAATCTGCCCCTTCCATTATCTCCCCCAACTCCCCAGGTGAGCAAAAAAGCCCAAGTGAGCAAAACCTCCAAATTCCCCCCAAAATGAAGTCCTCAAAATATAGGGAAGGGAATAAGCATTTCTATAGCATCTACAATGTGTCATGCACTGTGCTAAGCACTTTACAAATATTTTCTTATTTGATGCTCACAACCACCCTGGGATGTAGGAGCTATTATTATCCCCATTTTACAGATGAGGAAACTAAGTTAATGAGAAATTAAGTGACTTGCCCAGGGTCACACAGCTAGTAAGTGTCTGAAGCTGGATTTGAACTCAGGAAGATGAATCTTCTTGACTCCAGGCCTAGCACTCTGTGCTGTATGGTACCACCTAGCACCCACTTCCACATTAGCTAAGTCCAAAAAAGGTATTTATTTTTCTGCATTTTGAATTCATTGCCTCTTTACCATAAGGTCAGTGGTGTCCATCTATTCATCCCCACTAATTCCCAGGCCCGATATCCTTCCTCCCTTCTGTGGCTAAACTTGAGATGGTTATCTATAATCAATGGCTCTACTTCCTTTCCTTTCATTCTTTTCTTAATTCTCTAAAGTCTGACTTCTTACCTTATCATTCAATTAAAACTGCCCTCCCAACATTGCCAATGATCTTTTAATTGCCAGATTGAATGGACTTTTCTCAACACTCATCCTTTCTTAATATTCCCACAGATCACTATGTACAAAATTATTTATACCAGTTCTTATCATAGCAGCCCAAAACTAGAAATTAAGGTGTTCTGCTACTAGGGAGTGGTGAAACAAATCATGGAGTATGGTTGCTATTGTTCAGTGTGTCCTATTCTTTGTGACCCCCATGGACCAGAGCATGCCAGGCCCTTCTATCCTCCACTATCTTTCAAAGTCTGTCCAAGTTCAAGTTCATTGTTCCCATGACACCATCTATCCATCCCATCCTCTGCCATCCCCTTTTCCTTTTGCCTTTGATCTTTCCCAGCATCAGGGTCTTTTTCAATGAGTCCCGTCTTCTCATTATGTGGACAAAGTATTTAAACTTCAGCTTCAGTATTTGACCTTCCAATAGTCTAAGTTAATTTCTTTAAGTATCGACTGATTTGATCTCCTTGCTGTCCAAGAAACTCTCAAAGTCTTCTCCGGTACCACAATTTTTTTTTTGACTAGGCAGTGGGGTTAAGTGACTTGCCCAGGGTCACACAGCTAGTAAGTGTCAAGTGTCTGATGTCATATTTGAACTCAGATCCTCCTAACTCCAGGGCCAGTGCTCTATTCACTGCGCCACCTAGCTGCCCCTCCAGTACCACAATTTGAAGGCATCAGTTCTATGGCAATCAGCTTTCCTTATAGTCCAACTCTCACAATCATACATTACTACTGGAAAAACCATACCTCTGACTACACAAAGCTTTGTTGACAAGGTGATTGTTTCTGTTTTTTGGTATTCGGTACAGCTTTCCTTCCAAGGAGCAAGCATCTTTTAATTTCATGGCTGCAGTTGCCATTTGAGTCCCAGAATATAAATTCTGACACTGCTTCCGTTTCTTCTCCCTCTATTTGCCAGGAATGATGGGACCAGTTGCCAAGATCTTGGTGCTTTTACACTCTTCGCTTTCACCCTCATCGAGAGGCTTCTTAATTCTTCTTCCCTTTCTGCCATCAGAGTAGTATCGTCTGCATATCTGAGACTATTGATATTTCTTCCGGCAACCTTTAAGAGCATATGGATGTAATGGAATATTTTTGTGCCATAGGAAATGACAAAATGGATAATTTCAGAGGAAGCTGAGAAGATCTCTGTAAATTGATGAGTGGATGCAGAGTGAAGTGAGAACTAAAAGAACAATTATGATGATAACAACATTACAGAGAAAAACCACTTTGAAAGACTGTAGAGTTCTGGTCAGTGCAATGATAAGCCACAAATCCAAAGAATGAAGATGTAATAGTCAGTTTAGCCAACAAGCATTTACTAAACACCTACTGTATGTCAGGCACTTTGCTAAGTGCTAGGGATATAAGAAAGGTAAAAAAAAAATCAGTCCCTGCTCTCAGGTGTGGGAATTGAGTGAATCACAATGACTTCATCTTGTAACTCCATTCTGGATCTGGCTCAGTTCCCTGTCTATTCATTGATGGGTCTAATCCAATTTCTGCCTTATGAGAAAGCTTTATTACATTGTTTGAACTTAACTCTATGTGTCTGGGAAGCTGTACCACTTCTACCTGTTGCTTAGAGACCCTTAACTAAGGACCTAGGTCATGCTGGTCAGAAGCCCAGTCAGATCCAAAGGATGTGCAAGGAGTTTTCTCACAATTATACATCTCAAGCAACCCATTTGTCTCATCTGAAAACTGGCCTCATATTGGTCAATCAGTTACTGTTTCCTTGTTCCTTTGATTAAATACAGACACTTGGGGGTCAGTGGGACACCGCTTTTTCTGATTTCTTAGAATTGCACTTTTTTTCTCCCCCTCCCAACTCAGAAAACCCCTAATCTTTCCTCCAATTGGAAATCATATAACCTAATCTCATATGCTGGTTTATATCCTGTTAATTGCTTTATTTTAATGCATAAAAATCTGTCTAGTATTTGAAGGTCCAGTGCCAAGCTAAGGAGGCCTGGTCCTGATTTGTTATGCAATTGGCATGCATTGCTTAATGAATTGATATGCTCAGAAGCTTAAACTTTTGTTTCCTCAATTATTTAATCATAGATCCCTTTCTTTTTTCTTTGATTTCTTTGGTTCTCAAGGAACCTGTCATGGTGGGCAGCGTTCCTTAGGGACCTTGCAACCTAACAGGAATGATGCTAAAGCTTATATAGGAAAAGTAGTGAATCATGTGGTAAGTATGCTAATTAGGTGATAACATACAACTACATCATTCACTACTGGAAATTGAGGGGAGGGGGGAGAAAAGAGGATTCCTAAAGGGTGCATTTTTGGTCTGTTATGTCTGAAACAAGATAGCATCAGGAGTTGACATCTGTAGCTTGACTTCTGGATTGTATATGGTAACCGTGGGCATCAGTACTTGATAAGTTCTGTTGATACAAGATAGTACAAGGGAAATTCTACAGAAGTCAGTTTGTTCTTGTAACAGAGAGATAGTTTGCCTCACTAGACCCACTCATGAGTCATTGCGAGAGACAGGGTCCTTGGGCTGGAGGGAAACTGTCAGGGATAGTGTTTCTGAGGCGAGGGAGAAATATGATCTTGGAAGTGGGGTCTAAGTACAGGCGCCCAAGCACCCCATCATTACCTCATTTGGGGAAAATCTATTCTATCCTTGTCTCTTCTCTGGTGACTGATCTAGGTGTATACTTGGGAGCCCATTCCAGATAACACTAGATGTGGAAGCTTACTAAACACCCCTTTTCCCTCCTTTAGAGATAATAAGGAATAATCTGATTTCAGTGCCCTTGTTCCCATTAAAATGGAAGATCTAATCAGTGTTCCCTTGAATAAACGACAATGCAGAGGATAGTGTCCAGGCCTAAAGTCCTTTGTGCATAATTCTTATGGAAAGCCTAACTGGTTTCTAAAAGCATAGGCTTTATCAGTCCAAGAAGGAGTCCTTCCAGAAATTGATTAGGGTAAGTATCATACTAAGAACAGTGGCAGCTAGGTGGCACAGTGGATAGAGTGCTGGGTCTGAAGTCAGGAAGAACTCCTCTTTCTGAGTTCAAATTTGGCCTCAGACACTTACTAGCTGTGTGACCCTGGGAAAGTCACTTAACCCTGTTTTCCTTAATTCCTCATCTGTAAAATGAGCTGGGGATGGCTTCAGTATCTTTGCCAAGAAAACCCCAAATGAGGTCATGAAGAAAGAGTCAGACATGGCTGAAAAACATACCATGTCTTTTAATTGATTAAATCAATAGAATTATCTCTTGAGTTGACCTTTGACTAGGGTGAAAGGAGAACCCTTAGGCATGGTTCAGTAAGGATTAAATGATTTTTAGGAAAATGTTTCTCTAGGGTGGGCCAGTCAAATGACTTGTTGTATTGTTAGACTCTAAATTGTTAACTACATTTTGCATGCCCCTTTTATCTTGTTTATGGAATTTTGTCTTTCTTCTTGTATCCTATAAAACTGTATGTGCCAATGGTTGGACAAAGAGATATTCAAAGGCTTGGGGAAACTCTGCCCTTTTTAGATTCTTCCCTCTCTAAGTTACCATGATTAGAATTGAATTAAATTTGTCTCTGACATATTTGTGCCCAGTAAGATTTTTTTTTCTGTATAAGTTAAACCTCACACTTTCCCTTACATAAGTTAAAAAGGGGCCAGCTAAAGGCTCCTTATTTCTTGCATCATTGACTGATCTGCCTTTTCTGTGGAGAACTCTGAATCCCCAAAGCATCTAGGGTAGACTAAAATATGATTCCTAAAAGTCTTCAAGTGTAGGTCAGATAATTATTTACCAGAAATAATATAGAGAATAATCTTGTTTAGGTAGAGGTTGGACTCCATGACCTCTGAGGTTCTGTGCTATTTAATAATAGACCTCTTCATCCTAATAGTGAGAGGACTATTTCCATAGAAAAACTGAGGAATCTCAGAAGCCCACCTTAGGCTCAGACCACTTTGACTTGACTGCCACCTGGTGACAGCATGCATACTTTGGGAGAAGAAATTCACTGTAGAACTTTCAAATGCCAGCTGGAGAAGATAATTGAAAGACAATTTTATTGTTCCATATGTGGTATGGGAAAGTATACACAGGAATGCAGCAGCATGGTGGGGAGAAGATAAGTGGATTAGAAAAGCTTCTGTCTTCCTGTGGCTGTCCTTCTCCAGGACCGCTGGGCATAGCCTGTGTGACGCTGAAGGATGGAGTTAATCCACTGGATGTATTGGGAGACCCGGGCAAAGGCGTCAGGGTAGAAGCCGGAGCCACAGCCTCCTCGAATGAAGGAGTCAATACCATAGACTATTCCATTACATACCAAGGGTCCCCCAGAGTCTCCCTGGAGAAGACAAAGAGTTGGCCAAGTTTGGGGAAGAGCTGAGGAGAGACACTGAGCTCACTTCCCACCTTCCTCTGCTCCCCTCGACCCTGATCCCCAGCATTGATAAGGGCCCCTCCTAGCTTGATCCTCAAAGACTACTGACTTTGGTTTGAGTTGTCCAACAACATGCATCCTTTCTCCCTCTCAAATTCACCCCCGCCCCATTCTGCTTCAACCCAGCCCTATTCTTTCCCAGAGGCCCCCATCCCACGTCCATATATCCCTGGCTACCCACATCTTCCCCATCTGTTAAGGCCCAGCTCAGAGGGTATCTCTTCCAGGAAGCCTTCCCTGATCTCCAAGCTAGAGGGATCTCTTAGGGTCATAGTGCTTAGAGATGGAAGGGACTAGAGACCATCTCCTCCCTCTCCTTATTTTATAGCTGAGAAAATGTGTAAAGAAGAGTCTCCCTAAGGCCCAGGGTAGGTGCCTCCTCCATCAGAAGGCTTCTCTTGTCTTGGTTGTTGGCGCTCCTCCCACCCCCAAATTACTCTACCTATTTTTTGTTTTGTTTTGTTTTTAGGCAATTGGGGTTAAGTGACTTGCCCAGGGTCACACAGCTAGTAAGTGTTAAGTGTCTGGTCGGAGATTGGATTTAGAAATAAGAGTTTCTATAGCTCCTACTATGGGCCAGGCAATGACTGCGCTGAGCACTTTACCAATATTCCCATTCTGTGTTTTGTTTTTTGTCTTTGTCTTTGTGACTGGTACATAGCAGATGCTTAATAAACAGTTGTATTCAGTTATGTGCTGAAGGTCTCCAGCTCTAAAAGCCGAGGTATTGTTATGTCCACTTTAGAGATGAGGAAACTGAGGTTGCCTGCCTAGGGTCAGGTAGTTCCCAACTAGCAGAAATGGGATTTGAACCTAGGTCTCTTGATTGCAAATTTAGAGGGCTTTCCACCTCAATGAGCTGTCTCCCTCCTACTTCATAAGCCTCCACCCCCATCCCCAACATTCAGCCCAGATTCTTGCTTCTCTCTTTGATCTGATAGGCCTCTCCAAGGCCTGGGAGCTCCAGAATGCTAGTCCTCTCCCACCTAATTCTGAGACCCTCTGGCTCCCTAGTCTTACTCACCCTTGATGGAAGAGCCCTTTAGAGCTCATCTGGTCCACCCCCCTCACTGTAGGGTGAAGAGAATGAACATTCATAGAACATCTACTGAGCACCGGGTACTGTGCTGAGCACTTTACATTTGAGCCTCAGAACAACCATGGGAGGTAAGTGTTACTGTTACTATCCCTATTTTACAGATGAGGAAATTGAGCTGAGGGAAGTTAAGTGAGTTGCCTAAGCTCTAAGCCAGTAAGTGTCTGAGATAGGATTTGAACTCTGGTCCTCCTTACTCCATGTCCAGCAATCTGTCCCAGTCTACTGTGCCACCTAGGTGCCCCCCTCCCAGAGAAGCCTAGGTGGATACTCTAACCCAGAACTGCTCACTCCAAATCCAAGGCTCTTTCCTCTGTGTCCCCTTATGTGCCTATGTGCTGAGTTTTGTTCAGCCTCATTGGATGTTTTCCTCGGTGGGCCCCATGATAGGAGCTAGGGGCTGAGAGTAGAGCTGGGACAGGGTCTGGACTTGAGTGTAGGAGATGGGGACCAGGGTCAGACTGGGGTGGAGGGAGACTTACGAAACAGATTCCGGCCCTGCGGCGGGGTACCAGAGTACAGAGGTTGGTGGAGGGGCAGCGAGTGGTAACCACGGTCACGTTGAGTTCCTGCAGCTGGGAAGGGGGGCCTCTGTTGTTCTGCAATTGCCCCCACCCCATGGCCAGGCACTGGGTTCCAACTCTCACATTCTGGCCTTGCTGGGGGAGTGGGGCCACCCGAACATTAGCATTGATGGTGGCCGTGCCTTCCAGCTGGGAGCGGAGGAGACAAAAACAAACACTGAGATGAAGCTGGTCAGCCTAGTGGTCAGTTAGGGCTGGCCCAGATTTGGAGCCCTGACCCAGTCATGTCACAGTGGAGGAAGGCAACACTAGGAAAGGGAAGGCAACTGTGAAAATGAGGATAATCATTGTAATTTCCCTGACTACTTAGGATCCTATGCTAGCTGGGAGAGACCTTAAAGGTCATCTAGGCCACCTTTCATTTTACAGATGAAGAAACTGAGGCAAAGAGAAGTTAAACAATTTGCTCAAAAAGGTAGTGAGCAGAAAAGCCAGGATTCAAACTCAGTTGAACCCAGACCTCATACAAAACTGTAACTCACACTTTTGGCTCCTGGTGTAAGAAATATTAATGAACCTTTAAATCCACCATAGTTAGGGGGAGGAGTGGAGAGGGAGGTGGGGAGGGGAGAAAACCCAGGACACCAGCCCCCTGTGGGGACGAGATGCCCTTTATACAACGGAGGAAGAGACTCAGGGACACAACTCCATAGTAGGGAGACAGAGGCCCTAGCACATAGCGAGGCGGCTGATAGGAGGCCGCCATCTACAAAGTATTCTTCACCTCTTATGCTGTCATGACAGAAGTAAGGGTGGGTATGACACAAGAGAAGCAGGAAGCCAGACCATCCAGTAGTTTCCTAGTTTAATTAATTTAATTAGTTTAATTAATTAAATTAATTGTTCATAGGATCTTAGATTTAGATCTAGATGGTACCCAAGAGGTCATCAAGTCCAACCTTCTCATTTTGTAGATGAGGAAACTGAGGCAAACAGAGGTTATGTGACTTGCCCAGAGTCACAGTTAGTTAAGTGTCTGAGGTGGGGTTTGAACCCAGGGTTTCCTGACTTCATTGCCCTAGCCGCTACCTCATGGTGCTTCAGTTCTTGCCAACTAGATTCTACTCTGCTAAAGGAATGAAAGGGCTGCCAAAATGTAAATGTAATTATTTTTTAAACTTCACAACTTAAAAAAAAATGACCATTTTGAATTTGTTGTGCCCTCTAAACTTCAGTGCTCCCTGGGACAGTAATCTGATTGTCCTGACTTAGTTAATGGCTCTTTTCCAGAGCCTTTTCTGTTGTACATGCTGCCTTTGAAATAAGGGTATGGTGTGGATAGGGCTTTGTTGTAAGGAAAGTGCTTTGGGGACCTTCAATCAACCCCTCCCCATGGGAAAGTGAGTTATTGTTGTCAAGAGTCTGTCTATAGCGCTTTGATTTCTGCTCATAAAAAACAACCCTAGCTTCCATTTCTATAGCACTTGCTTAATGAAGCTATTTCTTTTCAACAGCTTTGGGAGGGAAAGAAGGAAGGAGTGTAATACGATGACCATTTTACAGATGACAAAACCGAGGCCCTGAGAGGGTAAAGTCACAGCTTCTCAGTGTCAGAGCCAGGATTCGATCCCTGGGTCTGCTGGCTCTTCTGTTCCTCCTCCAGGGCACTGAGCTTGCCTCAGTGGGTCCTGGGCACCATCCCCCGCCCCTGCTCACATCACACACCTGCAGGATTACAATATCATTCCGCAGAGTCTGAGGGTTGAAGCCATTCTCAAAAACTCTCCGGACTTGCAATCTCTGCTGGGTAGGCTCTTGTCTACGCTGGTTGTGAGCCCCCAGCACCACCTGCACGCGCTGAGGGTTCCTGGGTTGGGAAGAAAAGCTTGGAATGAAGGCCGAAGACAGCAGAGGAGAGGCCCAGCTGGGTAGAGATCAACTAGCCGGGGTCCAGGCCTGGACCAGTTTTAAAATCTCTAGCTAATTGGCCCCACTCCCACCCTTGAGGGCAGCTGGGAGGAAGAGGGTGAGGCAAAGTGTAGGTTTTGGGGGGAGAGGCAGGGATCCTCTGAAAACCCATGGCTGGGTTCCATGAGTCTTCTCTCCTTTCCTCCCTCTTCTTACAGAATCATGGACTCCTGGGATGCCAGAGAAAGAAGGGATTTTTCTTAAGGCCACATGTCTAGCCAGTCAGTCAATAAGCTTTTTAAAGCACCTACTATGTGCTTAACACAATGCCTGGCCCATATTAGGTGGTTAATGTTATTGGCTAAGAACACAGTTGGGACTGAAACTCAGACTTTCGGATTTCAAATTGAGCATTCAATAGAGTTAGAACTGGAAGACATTGAGTTCGGTATCCCCCTTTTACAGACGAGAAAGGGAAAATAAAAGCAACTTGTCCAGGGTCACACAAGTAGTGAGCATCGGGAGTGGGACTGGAACTCCTGGTGCTCTGACCCCAGAGGAAGTGGTCTTTCCATAGCACCTATTCCCTTCTATCATATGAAGTCTCGTCTGTTGAGTTTCACCACAAATTGCCAAAGATTTTGGGCACAGAAAAAAATCGTAGGGTTTTCATTGATGTCTCTGTCTCACAAGCCCAGCAACAGGTGTCTGGTAAGAGTTTCTGAACCCTTCACTCATCCCCTGACCTTGGGTAAGAGTTCCTGAGACCCTGACACCTTTGAACACATTATGTCAAAGCTGGGAGGAACCGCCAAATGGGCTACACCTAGAACCCAGAATATTAGAGCTGGGAGGAACCTTAGACACAGGATGTAGGAACTGGAAGGGCCTTAGGACATAGAATGTCAGAGCTGAGAGGAACCTTAGAACACAGAATGTCAGAACAGAGAATGTTAGAACCCGAATGTTCCTTAGAAACCACCTAGTCCAAACAACTCATTTTACAGCTGAGGAAACTCACTGAGTGCCCAGGGCTAACTACTCCCGCTCCATGGGCCTTGGTGATAGAGCTATTCCCCATACACTGATTGCATTCCCATAGGGAGCTACTTGTCAGAGCTCTCTCTTCTCTTGCTCCCTGGGGCAGGTGCCTTCTGCCCCAAACCCTTTGGTTACTCACTTGCCACTCAAGCAGTGGGCTGCAGTCATCACGAATTGAGGATGAATCAGCGTCCCCCCACAGAAGTGACCACCACGCTGCTGCAGAGATGCCATGTACGGGCGAGAGTGAGGCACAGCCGTCCTTCCTCCCACAATCTCTGAGCCCAGGACTGGATCTAATGGGATCAGAGAGACAAGGTCAGAAGGCAGAAAAAGGGTGAAAAGCTCCATTCATTCCCCCTTCTCCCTGATCCCTGTTTCTTCACAAAGCCCCCCTTATATAAACTGATGCAAAGTGAAGTGAGCAGAACCAGGAAAACATTGTATGCAATAGTAGCAGTATTATACAATGATCGACTGTGAATGACTTAGCTATTCTCAGCAATACAACGATTCAAGACAATCCCAAAGGACTCATGATGCTATCCACCTCCAGAGAAAAACTGATGGAATCTGATTGCAGATTGAAGTATAATTTTTTCACTTTCAAAATTTTTCTTATTTTGTTTTGCAACACATCTAACATTTATTTTGCATGATTTCACATGTATATTTGTCATCACATTTTTTGCCTTCAAAATGGGTAGGGTAGGAATGGGAAGGAGGGACAAAAAGAATTCAGAATTTAACATTTTTTAAAAAAGAATGTTAAAAATAAACAGTAAGTTTAAAAAAAAAACAAAGCTTCTCCCTTCTCCCTCCTGTTACTTATTGTCAGTCAGCACCATCCTCTATGTCCAACCGCCCTTCGGCTCTGAGAGGTAGTTATTTTCTCTGACATTGCCCAGTGAGTCAGTAACAGATCCAGAAATCCTCAGAATTCTGGACTCCTGACATCTTTCTTGGATTCTCCATCCCAAAACCTATGGCTGTACTTCCCCAGAAGTTTCATCCTGAACTCCTGGCTCTCCAGGGGGAGTATAATCACGGCTTCATCCTTAAAAAGCACAGGAAGCAAGGGTGTGTGTGTGTGGTGTGTGTGTGTGTGTGTGTGTAAAGTGAGGAGGTTCTGGACCTTCTTCTCACTCACAAGAGAGAACTAGGTTCTGAGATTTGAAGGTAATAACTGTTCCAACTTAGAATCTAGGTACCCAGGCTAGATTTTAGATTTAAAAGTATTTGAAGAAAGGGCTAATATGATCTTGTGGTCTAAAATTATACAGGGAAAATCAGCCTAAGAAGGAAGGGAAGTTCTCAAGAATGAAATGCTGACCACCCAGAAAGAGAAGCCATCCAGCGACGGTTTTAGACAAGAGTGACTTGTCTAAAAAGAATAATGTGGCTGCAAAGGGAGCTCACTAAACAACTGAGATTTTTAGAAGACACACGCAAAATGTGGAAGCAATGGCAGGCAACAGATTTATACGAAGAGAGGAGCCATCCCGTAAGGACAGGTCAGGAACGCTAATGCTCAGAATGAGCTGAGGTTAGTGCAGGATGCTTTGGAGGACGAAAAGGATTGTTTTACAGCTAAAATAATAGCTCTTGAAGGTTTGCAAAACACTTTACCTGTGTAATCTAACTTCATCCTCACGATATGGTTAGGGGGTAGAGGCTACTATGATATCCACTTGACAGCTGAGGAAACTGAGGCAGAGTTTAGGTGACCTGTCTAAGGCCACATAGCTAGCAAGTGGCTGAGGCCAGATTTGAACTCAAGTCTTCTTGAGTCCAGGCCCAGCATCTATGCACTGCACTCCTTCAGGGGTGGGGAACCTTCAGCCTTGAGGTCACATGTGGCCCTCTAGGTCCTCAAGTGTGGCCCTTTGACTGAATCCAAACTTCGCAGAACAAATCCCCTTAATAAAAGGATTTGTTCTGTAAAATTTGGACTTAGTCAAAAGGCCACACCCGAGGGTCTGGAAGACCACCTGCAGCCTCGAGTCCTTTTGACCGTCCAGGTTTCACAGAACAAGTTCTTTTATTAAGGGGATTTGCTCTGTGAAGTTAGGATTCAGTCAAAGGGCTGCACTTGAGGACCTAGAGGGCCACATGTGACCTCAAGGCTGAAGGTTCCCCACCCCTGCAGCTGTCTCCTAGGCAGCATGCTCATCAAATTAGTAGAGGATTGAAAGGTTCTTAACAGGCTCAAACACTGGAGTGAAACTAGTAAGATGACATTTAGTTGAGATATATGTCAAATATTATGCTCAAGGATAAGAAATCAATTTCTTGAGAGCTGGATGGCTCAGGCATGGCTGGAGAGTCATTTGCCTCAGAAAGTTAATGATGCTTTAGTGGCCTGCAAGCTCAGTGAGATTCAAGGTTGGGATATGGCAGCTGAAGAATCTAATTTGACCTAAGATCTGAATTAAGAGAGGCCTCACACCCAAGACCGGGGCAGTAATAGCTTCCTCTATACTCACAATTGGTCAGGCTACCTCCACAATCCCATATTCAGTTCTGTGTGTCTTATTTATGAAAAGTATTGATAAGCTGGAAAGCCTCCAGAAGAGGGGGTGACCAAGATGGTGAGGTGCCTTGAGAGTCTGCTGTTTGAGAGACCTGGGGATATTTAGTCTGCAGAAGAAAAATCTTAGGGTTAGGGATGGGGGATTTGAAAGCTGGCTTCAGACGTGGGAAATTGGACTTGTTCTGCTTGGCCTGAGTGGACAGAACGAGGAACAATGGATGAAAGTTCTTGGCTTGAAGACAAACTGATTTAAACTTGGTGTAAGGAAAGGTTTGAAACAGTGAGCGCTGTCCAATAGCAGAATGGATTGCTTCAGACAATGGTGGGTCCCTCCTCCCTAGAGGTCTTTAGGGAAAGGGTGGGTGTCCACCTATTGGAAGTGTTGTGGAGGGAATTGTTGCTCAAGTCTGGGATGGACTTAGTGGCCTCTGGGGTCCCTCCCCTCTAGCTCTGTGATTTTGCCGTTCTATGTGAGTGGGACCTTCTTAAGGGTCAGTGGTGGAGTGTCTTGGACAAAGAAGTGGAGTCAGGATGGTAGAAATGCTAGTTCACAGGCATAATATCACTAAAATGAGGCACAATATCTCATCTGAGACTCTGTGGAGTAGATAATACAAACATTGTCAGCTGCATTTTGTAGAGGAGGAAGCTGAGAAAGTGAAACCCAAAGCTACACTGTGCTGGGTCTGTCAATCAAACATAGGTTTTCTGATTCTAATTCTGGTTCTTTCTCCACTATATCATGTCTACCTATGGTCTAAAGGTCCTTCCCAGTTCTTAATATTCTATTTTCTAATAGAATATTAGACATATTATTATTATTTAAGTTCTATGTTACAAAGACCCTTTCATTTCTGACATTCAATGTTCTATGTTCTAAGGCCCCTTGCTGGTCTAACAGGAACGTAAGATGAGGCACTGGATAGAGATCTGGTCTTGAAATCAAGAAAATCTGGATTCACATCCACACTTAGATGCTTATTAGTTGTATGACCCTGGGCAAGTCACTTAACCTCTGCCTGCCTCAGTTTCTCCATCCATAAAATGGAGAAAACAGTAGCATCTACCACCCAAGGTTATTGTCAGAATCAATTAAGATATTATTTGCAAAGTACTTTGAAAGTACTTAAAGCACTAAATGCCAGCTATTATTACCATTATCATTATATATTCTATGTTTTGTGATTCCTTCCAACATGTGATATTGTGCTTTATGCTCAAAGTTCCTTTCTTGCCGGAATATTCTATGTTCTATATTCTAACGCACTTTCCAGCCCTGATTTCTATGTTCTAAGATCTTTTCCTGTACCCTAAGTTCTCAGGTTCTTCCACTTTTGATATTCTATGCTTCTGCCTCTGAAATTCTATGTTCTGTGTCCTGAGACCTCTCCCAGCTTTGAGATTTCTATATTTGAGTTTCTAAAGGCCTATAGCCTTTATTTGAGTTTCTAAACGCCCTTTCTGCTAAAGCACTGTAAGTTCTAAGTTTTCTTCTAGCTCTGATGTACCTTTTCCTCTGTCCTAAGGTCCCTTCTTCTATGTCTGACATTTTATGTTCTAAGTTTCCTTTCCCATTTTAATAGTCTATGCTTCATGTTGCTTATCCTAGCAGTTCCTCTGTCTCTAATACAAGGTGTTTCAATAGTCTTAATCTTAGACTTTTGGAACACCCTGGCTTCTACATTCTAAGGGCCTTTCTAGTTATAATATCCTAGGTTCTAGGCTCCAAGATGCTTCCTGCTCTGACATTCTGTGTTCTATGTTCACCACTGCCTTCCTATTCTGAAAAACTGTGTTCTATATTCTGATATTCCTTTGACTCTAACCTTCCATGTTAGAAGGTTCCTTGTCTTACGTTTTGTGTTTTATATTCTCAGGTTCCTGACCTACTATTTTCTATTCTCTGAGGTCCCTTCCAATTCCAGCATTCTAGGTTCTGTGTTATCAGATCTTTTCTAGCTCTGACAGTCTAATCTTTATATTCTAAGGAAACTCACAGTTCTAATATTCTATATTTATAAATATTTTTTATATTTCACTAAGCTCCTTAGCACAGTGCCCAGCTCATAGCAGGTGCTTAATGCCTACTACCTAGCAAGCTATCCATCCATCCATCCATCTATCTATCTATCTATCTATCTATCTATCTATCTATCTATCTATCCATACATACATACATCTACCTTCCAATTCTACTATTCCAAGTTCTAAAGCACTTCCTAGCTCTATGATCTGTAACTAATCCCCTTCTAAGAAGTACCTTGGGTGATATTATTTGTATGAATGAATGAATAAATAAATGACTGTTCCTACTTGCCCTGGCAGAAGATCTCTAGGGTTAGAATTTCCCTGTGTCTTCTACTGTCTCTCACCTACTACCCACTAGCCTTGATCTCTCTAGGGCTAGACAGACAGACAGACAGACAAACAGGTAGGCAGGAGGGCAAACAGGCAGACAGACAGACAGAGACTTACCCCCATGGATGGAGAACAGCAGGAAGAGGAGAGTGCCATGCAGGGGGGATGCCATGCTGCCAGTAGGCAGGCAGATGTCTGCAGCAGCCTTGGGGTCTTCATGGGTACCCCTTTCCTAATCTCTCCTCTTATAGTCCCAGGTGGAGAATTCGTTGCAATTGCCCCACAGGCCTAGGGGCTGTTTGGGAGCTGTTACTTCACCTATTTCCTCGGTCACTTGGATGGGGGCAGGATATAGGGACCCAGGACCCTGAAGAATGGTGCAATAAAGGGATGTGGGATATAGGAACCTCAGAAGCAGCATCAGCCTTCTATCTACCCTTCTACAACAGGCCAGCAAGAGAGAGGGCAAAAGAGAAGGATGAAGCAGATAGAACAGCCCCAGGGAGTTACAATCCCAGCTCTGAGGGGCTTATGATCCCAAAGGATCATAACTTTGACACCCCCTCAGAATCCTCAAATCTCAGAGCTGGAAGTGACTTCAGCAGTGAGGCCATCTCCTGGCCTGACACAGATCCTCCTCTCTAATACCCCCAGAGGTCATCCACCCTCTGCCTAAACCCTTCTGGTGGCCCCTGCCAGGGAGCTCATGACCCCAGCAGCCCCAGGGCCCCCCAGGAGCTGGCAGGAAGCCCAAATCCAGTTCCCCTTCCAAACTCCCCCAAAGATGTTCCAGTTCCAACGGTCCCTGTCAGTGATGCAAGAGTAAACGGTGGCTGGGGCTGGGGGAGTGTTAGGGAAAGGAGGCAGTGGGGAAGGAAGGGGGAGGTAATCTGACCAAGTTTTCAGCCTGACAGGGAGGGGTCAGGCATGTTGCAGCAGGCAGCCTAGCTGCTCATTTCTCTAGGCTGAGCCAACTCAGCTTGGCTTCATGGGCCCCCACAATTATCTCTAGGCTAGCAGGGTTTCCAAATGTCATTTTTGTTTAGCATTGGGATACAACTAGACCCTCATACTCACAGATTCAAAGACACACACACACACACACACACACAGAGGTTCATATACACAAAGGCACATGTGGATTTATGCTTGTATAAACATATGCAAGCATGCTCACTGTCAGGCATGCACGTGTTTGCTCAAGGTCAGACACGCAGGTACAGAAAAATCTACCCAGTTGTGTGTTTAGATATGCAGTCACCTGCAAAGAAGTAGATGCAAATTCACAGAGTAGTTTATCTGAAAAAGATCTGGGGATTTTAGTGGACTGCAAGTCACAGCACTGGGAGTGGAAGGGGAATCCAATAGGAGTGAATAGTGTGACATGGTAGCCCAAAAGCTGGTGCCATCTTGGACTGCATTAAGAGAAGCATAGTGTGCCCCCAAAGTTACTAAATGGTGCATGTCCTTTGATCCGGTGAGGTACCACTGGGCCTATACTCTGAAGAGATCAAGGAAAGAAGAAAGGACTCATATGAATCAAAATATTTATAGAATTTTTTTGGTGGCATGTGGAAGAGGGAATACATTTGTTCTACTTGACTTTAAAGTACAAGCAGACACTAGAATGCCCACCCCTATCCCCAGTCTTCTTCAGACTAAGTATCCCCAGTTCCTTCAACTGGTCCTCCCCTGGCACCACGTTAAGGCTTTTTCACTAACCTGCCCTCCTCTGGACCCTTTTCAGTTTATCCTTGTCCTCTTTTTCCCCATTCCCTCTTTTTCTGGTGTCAAAGATAGGAAACCAAGGGGACAGGAGTTACCCACCATTTGGGGAATGTTTGCACAAATTATGGTATATGAATATAGTGGAAGATTATTCTGCTGAAAGAAAAGATGAGAAGGATGGTTTCAGAGAAGCCTGGGAAGACTCATATGGACAGATACAGAGAAAAGTAAGCAGAACCAGGAGATCCATCGACACTATAACATCAAAAATGTAAAAACAGCAACTCTGAAGGGCTTAAAAATTCTGTCAATGCAATGATCAACCATAATCCAGAGGACTGATGGGTGATGAAGGATGTGAGCCATCTCCTGAAAGAGAAGTGGTGGACTGAAGGTGCACAATGAGACACACTTTGGGGGCATGGCCGAGAAGGGGATTTGTTTTGCTCGTCTATGATTATTGTTGGGTTATTTTCCTCTTCCAGTGGATGGGAGGTAGAGATAGGGAGAGGAAAAAATGTTAGATAATTGAAAAAAAGAAAGAAAGAAAAAGAAGCCCAATTCTGATACTAGGGAAGTGATTGTCCCTCCCCACTCTGTCCTGATCAGACCCCATATGGAGGTTGTGTTCAGTGGATGCCACATTTTAGGAGGGACGTGGATAAACTGGAAAGGGTCCACAGGAGGGCAGGTTAGTGAAGAGTCTTAACATGGTGCCGGATGAGGACCAGTTGAAGGAACTGGGGACATTTAGTCTGAAGAAGACTGGGGGTGGGGGAGTGGGCATTCTAGTGTCTGCTTGTATTTTAAAGTCAAGTAGAACAAATGTATTCCCTCTTCCACATGACATGCCCGAGTTTACTTTTTTCTCTGTTTTTATTCTTGATTACAAGGAGTGATTTAATAGGGAAAAGGGTATATTCAGAAATAAAGGTGATGTAAAATCAAAAGATATCAATAAATTAAAAACATTAAAAGATTCTTATTAAACTGACACATGCTGGAGAAAGAGCGGTCAAATGCCATCTCTTTGTGGAGGACAGCAGACAAGAGATGCGGGAAGTCAGAGGAGGAGCTGGTTACGGCCTTCGTTGAAATATGCTAGGAAGGGAACTAATCTGGATTTGAATCCCAGCTCTACCACTTAACTTTAGCTTTGTGACTTTGGCCAAGTCCCTTGCCTTTTCTGGGCCTCCATTTCCTCATCCATAAAATGGGGGGTGGGGGTGGACATGGTAATGTTGTCAATTATGTTAGAGTAGAAAGCCCCTTCAGATATAGGTTGGGCTGCTGCTGGACGACCTCTGAGGTCCCTTCTAATTCTCTGATTCTGTAATCAGTATGGTCACTTCCAGCTGTAGAGGGCCTTGAAGGTCAAGGGAGCACAGAGAGAATTGGGGAGGGAGAGGGTGTAAGGTTAGCGTCATTGGAATCATGAGGTCATGGGTAAACTTAACTTTTAAGGAATGAGTCCCACTGGACCAGGAGGTGGTCAAGGGAATGGGGAGAGATAACACTGGTATGTGGATGACATGGGGCTGGGCCTGGGGCTGGGCCCAGACCTTGGCTTCTGTGAAGGACTGGAGTGTCCGTGGGAATGGAGAGGAGAAACATGTGCTGGGCCGCATGAGTCCATAAGGCCTGCTGACCTTCACAATAGTGTCATGGAGGATCATGGGCAGAGCCCTTGGGCTCCTGGGCCCGCAAGGACTAATTGTCTGTGGGATGAGGGGAGGGGACAAAGGGAGTGTTTTACACTTTGTGAGAAGCTGTGCAGTCAGACAGGCACTTCATTGTACAGTTTCTCAAAAAGTTTAAAATCCTGGGGCAGTGAGGTGGTGCAGTGGATAGAGCTCCGGCCCTGGAGTCGAGGACCTGAGTTCAAATCCAGCCTCAGACATTTACTAGCTAGCTGTGTGACCCTGGGCAAGTCATTTAACCCTCATTGCCTCCAAAAGAAAAAGGAAAAACCCACAAAAAAAGTTTAAGATCCTCCCTTTGCCCTTTTCCCTCACTCCCCAAAATATTGTGTGTATGTATGTATGTGTATATACATATATATAAAATTATATAATAATATAACATATATTATAATACATAATATATGTATGCCTCACTACACAGTTTCTCAAAAAGTTTAAAATCTTCCCTTTGCCCTCTCCCCTCACTCCCATTTATGCTGAGGTTTGCTGCCTACCTGCCTGACAGACCAGAGAAAGGTGGCTAGGGCCAAACCCTAGCTGGAACGGGTTGGTTGGGCAAGCCCAGGTCTTGGTATGCCTGCCTGGAGATGGATGCTGACTGTCCCCTCCTTTTTTGTGAGTCTAGGTACTAAATCTTAGAGTATGCCACTACAGAACCAGAGGGCTCTATCACTCTAGCCCTTCCCAGGCCTGCCCCTGAGGGAGATTTGGGGAAGGGGACCCCTGTTCCCATCTCCTCTGGCCACCTGTGACCAGCTTAATGCTTCCAGAACCTTGTCCCCAGTCCCCTGAAGGACTTAAATGCCTTCCTATGCCCTTGGGAATGCCAAGCAGTCTCCAGGGTGAGGGTCCTGATGCCTTTGAGTTTATTGAAGCCACAGCCTAGGGCTGGATGGGGGTGAGGGCTGTGGTCAGAATCAGTCCTGACCTTCCATCCCCATGCCCCACCCCAGGCTTTCCAGGAGCTTAGATCCTGACACCTCCTATGGAGGTTTGGGTGGTGGCTTTCCAAATAATGACTCCATCAGCTTAGAGGCCATGGAGTGCAACCTCCTCATTTTACCAGAGGAAGAAACTGAGGCACAGAGAGCCTGCTCACCCAGGGTCACAAAGCTAGTTGGTGTGGGGAATGGTATTTGAACTCAGATCTTCCTGGCTCGGGTCAAGCATCCTATCCACTGGGTTATTTAGCCACTGGAAGGTGAGGGTGGGGGTTCTTTACTTGCCCCCAAGGGGAAGATCTGAGGGGTAGGCAGAGGACCTCATCTGAGGCCCTCAAAGGGTTGGAGGTGGGACATGTCCGCAGGCCCAGATGAAGATACTGGGCTGTCTGAGGTGGAATCATTATCATTAAAAAGGGGACCATTACTGTTACTAATAACAGAAATCATCATCTTCATCATCCCAGTTGGCCTCCCCTTACTTTGCCCTGGCACCCTCCCCCGCCTTCCATGAACGTGGCTGATGGGTTGAGCTTTGATGGGGTTAGTAATAACAACTCACATCTCCATAGAACTTTTAAGATTTGCAAAATGCTTTCCACACATCATTTCATCGGATCCTCACAACAGCCCTGTGAGGTGGGTATTATTTTGACAGATGAGATAAACTGAAGCTCAGAGTGGTGGGGCTTGCCGGGGGTCACAGAGCTAGGAAGTATCAGAGGTGAGATTTGAACCCTGTCTTTCCTACTCCAAGCTCAGCTCTCTAGCGACCACGCCCTGCCTTGTGGAAGTTGAAGTCTCTCTACATCCTCCCCTCTGGAGTCTCTCATCACCGGAGCTGATGGTGGGGAGGCTCCCAGGGGAAGGGTTTGCCCATGGGGCTGCCTGAAGCTTGATATTCTTCCTTCTTCTCCTCCTCCTCCTCCTCCTCCTCCACACTTCTCAGGATAGATTTGATCCAGTCCACATACAGGGATACTCGAGCAAAGAAGTCTGGAAATCGCTGAGAGGCGCACGCACCTTTGATGAAGGAGTCCACGGCATGGACCACTCCCTGGCAGATGAGGGGGCCCCCAGAATCTCCCTGCAGAGAGAGGCAGAGGTGGTTAGCTGATTTCCCACCTTCCTCACCATTCACACCCAGTTTTAGGCCACGGAGGACTTTAAAAATGATTGAATCTCCCCTCCCACCTTTTACAGGTGGGGAAAATGAGGCTCATTCAGAGGCTGAGACCTGCCCATGGTCATATACTGAGTCAGTGGCAGAGCCAGGACTGGTCTGCTGAGCCCAGGATACTTCCCATTACCCACACCGCTCTTTGAGGGTAGGTGGCATCCCCCCACCCCAGGCTCTCCAACTTCCATGCTCCAACCCTCCACCCCTGCACACTCCTGCTTCCTGATCTCCAGTGAAGGGATTGCTTGCTAGGGCTGGCTAGTATCCAGAATTCCTTTCTGTTTCCCTAATACAGGCTTTGCTGCTGCTGTCACTGGGCATTGGGCTCTCTGCTGCTACCTTCCCACAGGGCATTAGTGAGTAGGGGATCAGATACGTACAAAACAGATGCCTGCTCGCTGACGGGGTGCCAGCGTACAGATGTTATGCTCCCGGCATGCAAAGGTCACTACGGTGACGTTCAGCTCCTGCAGGATGTTGGGGATGGGCAACTCTGTTCCCAATCGCCCCCAGCCCATGGCCAGGCACTGGGTCCCCATCGCCAGTGGCTGGCCCTGTCTTGGGAGTGGAACCACCTGGACATTGGCATTCAGAGTGGCCGGACGGTCCAGCTGTAGGGATAAAGGGGCCAGACACAGGACTGGTCAGCATAGGGCAATGTGGAATCCCACCTAAGGCTCCCTCTCTTGTCTCCCAATTCCAAGCTCTCCCCTGCCAAAATCAGCCATATGCAGCCTCCCCCTCCACACACCTCCCCCCCCATCGGGTCAGAATTCAGTACAGTGGTCAGTTGGAACGCTCCAGTAGACAGGAAGCTCCTTTCTTGCATTCTAGTACTTGTATGTGCTAATTGCATGGTCATAGGTGTGTGCTAATTGTATCAATACAAATAATCGGCATTTAGAGAGAACTTCAACATTTGCGAAGGTTTGTGTGCCCAATATCTCCTGTGATTCTCATAACAACTGTAGATAAGTACCACAGGTGTTATTATTATTATCCATATTTTACAGATGAGGAAACTGAGGCTCAGAGATTAAGTGATTTGCCTGTGGTTACGTATAGCTAGTAAGTGTCAGGAGTAAGACACCCCTGAGTGCAAACCCAGTACTCTTTCCACTAAATATATTAATTCTTTATCTCTCCCCCATGTGCTGTGTGAACTGTGAAAACTTCACACGCGCTCATATGAACTAGCTACATTCATGCTGTTGTGTGTGCGCTAACTGGATATTGCTAATTGCATATGTGATAATTCATTATGTGTTTGTATATGCAAATTAGGTATGTCGCTAATTATGGATGTGGCAATTATATGTAAGCTTCAATCCCATGTCTGCATGATGTCATTCAGCCACTAAGTGCCCCATTGAATGGATGTATTTCAATCATTAGAAAGTTCTTCCTGGGATGAAGTACATTTCCATTTCTGTAACATGCACCCATTGCTCTGGGTTCTGCCCTCTGAGGACAAGCGGACCAAGCTCCTTCAGATCCCTGAAGACAAGTCATCATGGTACCCCCACTGAGCCGGAAGGGATCTTGGAGGCTTTCTAGTTCACTTCCACAGATAGCTATTGACCAGACCAGGATTCAAACCCAGACCCTGGGACTACAGATCCATTCACTTTGTACTTACCATCTGGCTTCTCCTAAATACTTTCCGCCATCCTTTCATAGATCTTCATATGGTGTGATCTCTAATCCCCTTTCCATCCTATCAATGGCCCTCCAGAAATATGGAACCAATTCTCTAGCTATGTCTAGGGTCCCTTAGGTTTTCCTTCTACAGGTCTATGAGCTAAAGGACCTTCCATTCTATTCTCCCTCTTTCTGCATCCCTGGCCTTGCCGCTGCACCCCAATAGCGAGGAAGAAATGATCAAGATGGCAGCTGACTTTTCCCCTTGCCCATCTCCGTCCCCTTCCTTTCCTTCCCTTCTTACCTCAATGAGGGCAATGTCATTGAGTTTATTATTTTCATCATAGTTATTTAAATAGACACGCTGGAAGCTGAACATCTGCCAGGAGGGCTCAGGGTCTTTCAGATTATGGACTCCTGCGACTGCCGTCATCAGTGGGAGGTTCCTGGGGTGGGAAGAGAGGAAAAAAGGAGGGGAAAAAGGCTTCTACTGGGTACCATTGGGATTATAGTCACACACTGAGGGAGCTCTAAGGTTCCTCTAAACTGGGGGAAGGGAAGACAATAGGGTTTTTTAGATAAGGAAACTGAGACTTAGCAAGACTTACCCAAGGTCACACAGTAATTGGTGGCATCAGAATTCGAGTTCAGTTACCACCAAGCCATGCCAACTACCTTTCTCTCAAAGACCTCCCTTCCTCTTGCCTCACTCACAGTTGCAAAGTTAGAATGCCCTAATTCAGAAATGGTAAATTTTTACATTTTTTTTGTCCTTCATGGTTTGTTTTTGTTTTGTTATTTTTTGCTAGGCAATGGGGTTAAGTGATTTGCCCAGGGTCACACAGCTAGCGTCAAATGTCTGTGGCTGCATTTGAACTCAGGTCGTCCTGACTCCAGGGCTGGTGCTCTATCCACCTAGCTGCCCCAGTTCTTCATGATTAAGAAGCATTTATTCCTTGAAATAACCTTAGGTTAGGTAATGACATCAAGCCTTGCCCATTCTATCTCCCCAACATCTCTGCTACCACCACCTTTCCCATTCCCACCCCCATCTGCAGTCTCTCTGGCCTAGCTCTTAGAACAGTCCCTAAACTGGTCTTCCTTGCCTCTGGCTGTAACCTGTCCAGCACAAGCTGCCAGAGTCATCTTCTCAGAGTCTCGTTGTGACTACTCTCTCTCCTACTCAAAAGCCTTCCATGGCTCCCAGTGGTCAATGGGAGAAAGTTTAAACTTTTCAAAACGTCCCTTATTCCATAAAGCCTTCCTAGATTGCTCTCACCTATGTGGAGCTCAGAAAGGGCCTTTCTCATGGAGAGTCAGGACCACATGGTTTGCATTAAATGTCTCTGTATTCTGTTTGTAGGCCTCTACATCACATGTCAGACCAGGAGGTCCCTGAGGACAAGGAGCTATGTCTCTCTCTTAGAATAAAGGCTTCCAGAGGGTAGGGTTCTGTTTCCCCCTGCAGGGGCGGGGAACCTGCAGTCTGGAGACCACATGTGGCCCTCTAGGACCTTGGATGTGGCCTTTTGACTGAGTCCAGGTTTTACAGGACAAATCCTTTTCTTAAGGGGACTTGTTCTGTGAAGTTTGGATTTAGTCAAAGGCCACACTTGAGGACCTAGAGGGCCACATGTGGCCTGGAGGCTGCAGGTTCCCAACCCTGAACTAAGGGCTTCTCTAGGACATGCCCACCCCCACTCAGAGCAAGGTCTCGTGAGGGCAGGGGCTGAGTTCCTCCCCTCCCCACTTTAGTCCAGGCATTCCCGGAGGAAATGAGGTAAAGCTCTCCCCTCTGAATAGGGTCTCCCTAATTGTAGGAGACTGGACCATGTCTCCCCTGTGCCCACAGGGACCAGAGGACCTCCCCCTTTCCTACAATTACTCACATTTTGTTGACACAGTGGGCTGCTGTCATCACAAACTGAGGGTGGATCAAGGTTCCCCCACAGACGTGGCTCCCTAGAAACTGTAGGGAGATTACATAGGGCCGAGAGTGGGGGATGGCAGGTCTGCCACCCACGATCTTGGAGCTAAGGACCAAACCTGGTGGGGGGGGAACAGTACAGAGAGGAAGAGACAGGTGAACTCAGTGTGCTTGTTGTGGCCTTCAAGGCCCTCTCAGACACTCATCCTTGGAGGGGGCTCTCCCAGCAACGAGCAGTAGAGGGGCCAGTATGGCTCAGGTGTCTGAATATCATCTGAGGCAGACGTGTGGCTTGCAAAGAGACCCGGAGTCAGGGGTCCTGAGCCCCATTTCTGCTACTGGCTAACTCTATGACTGGCAAGTCAATGAAATTCTCAGAGCCTCAGTTTCCCCACCTGTAAAATGGGACTAGTAACCCTTGCATTACCCATCTACCTCAAACAGCTGTCTGTAAACCCCAGGTTTCCAGAGAAATAAAACAGGTAAGTTTATCCTCCTTCTCACCTATTCACTGGCATTCTGAATATTCTTTAATATTATTAGGGTCTTATTATTGTTCTCTTAAATTCAATGGTGTTCTTATTTTCTTATCAATTAATAATATTAAGTTATTATTCTCTTCAGCGGAGCTATTGTCCATATTATTTAATATTATTGTTTTTGTTCAGTTGTGTCTGGCTCTTTGTGACCCCATTTGGGGTTTTCCTGGCAAAGAACCTGGAGCGGTTTGCCATTTCCTTCTTCAGTTCATTTTACAGATGAGGAAACTGAGGTAAATGGGTTAAGTGACTTGCCCAGGGTCATACAGCTAGTAAGTGTTTGAGGCCAGATTTGAATTCAGGAAGATGAGTCTTCCTGACTCCAGGCCTGGCACTCTAACCACTGTGCCAATTGTTGTTATGGGAGGAGGCAGCTTCCTAACTCCCCCAGGGATAAAAATGACCTGATCTGGAAAGGACCCTAGGTTTAGAGTCTAGAGGACCTAAATTCTGGTCTCATCTATGTCATTTACTACCTGGGTGTCCTTGGGCAAGACCCTTCATCTCTGAGCCTCAGTTTCCTTGTCTGTAAAATGTAGGGAGGAGGGGAATAGGAGACCTGGCGACCTCTAAGGTCCTTTCCCACTTAGAATCTATGATCTCTATTTTCCATAACTTGCAATTCTTCCCACACACTCCCCTCTCCCCACTCCATCCTCAGATTCAGACTCCAAAGTCCCTGAACGATGTCCGTTAGAGCCTGTGCTGACACATTTCTCCAAAAGTTCCTGGGTATTATTACACTTGTTTTACAGATGAAGAGCCCAGAGAGTCTGAGTCATTCGTCCAAGGCACATGTTACAGAGGTGATATCTACCTGAGCTAAGACTCAAACCCAGGTCTCTGAGGGCAAGTAAACTCTGCACAGCCCCAACAAATCAGAGACAGACAGCCCAGGTCTGCCTCTGGCCCATGATGCGTCAGGTCCCCTCCCAAGCAGAGCCAGGCAGAAAGGGGGCAGAAGACAGAGGGAGGCCATACTTACAGCCCTGGATGGAGGCCAGCAGTGGGAGGAGGGTCCTGAGCAGTAAGGAAGACATGGTGCGGGAGGTCATGGGGCGTTAGGGAGAGCCTCCGGGCCTCTGTGCCCCCTCTTTCTGACCTGTCCTCTTATAGGCTCTATGGGAAGGCCGTTGGGATTGCTCCACAGATACATGAGCCCAGGCTTTCCCCAACTTCCTCTTGGGCCTCAGTAGGGTAGGAACCAGGAGATGGGAGCAGAGGAAGAGGGAAATAGAGAAGGATAGGGGACTACAGCAGAGACCCTGCACCTTTAGGGAGCAGCCTCTGCCTCCACTTGTCACCTCCATCCTAGGGGAGAAGGAGGAGGAGAAAGGCTAAGGTCACAGAATCACAGGATCTCAAAGTCCTAAGGGTCCTCCAAGGCCATCTAAACCAGCCCCACCTCCCAAAAGAATGCCCTGCACCATCCCTCAGACAATAGACTGCCCACAGAACCTGAACAGCCAGTTTGGGAGCCCAGAGCATGCCCTCTATAAATGAGCACTCCAATCAATTACTTGGGGGGGGGGACTCCAGCACCAGGCCTTGGGGAGGCCTCAGGATGCCACCAGGCCAAGTTCTGGGCAAGGCTGCCACCCAGGGAGGAGTAGAGTGAGCATAGGTATGAAGAAACTGGTGTGTGGCCAGGGGGCTGGGACCTTCCAAGTTTAATTACTAGTTACTCTAAATAATAACAACAACAACAACATGTATATGGTGCTTTAAGGTTTTCAAAGCACTATATATGTGCGTATCTCTATATCTATCTATCTATCTATCTGTCTGTCTGTCTATCTATCTATCTATCCATCCATCCATCTGCCTTTTCCATCTATCAATCAATCTATCTATCCATCCATCGATCTATCTGCCTTGTCTGTCTATCTATCTATCTATCTATCTATCTATCTATCTATCTATCTATCTATCTATCTATCTATCTGTCTGTCTGTCTGTCTATCTATCTATCTATCTATCTATCTATCATCTCATTTGATTCTTACGATAACCATGGGAGATGGGTACTATTATTATCCCCATTTTACAAGTGAGGAAACTGAAGCACAGAGAGCTTAAGTGACTTGCCCAGGCTCAAACAGCTGGTAAGTATGAAGTAGTGCTGTTTTAAAGATTTCTATCTTTAAAAAAATGAATAAATATTCAGAAAGTCTTTCCTCCTAGAGGTTGATATGCAGCCAGCCAACTAAATTTTTAGACAGATTCATTACCAAGACTGGTGGCCCAGACCCTACAACTTTTGCCCCTCTCCTTCCTTAAGGAATTTCTGAAATGGATTCCTGTTGTAGCTAAATGATTGAGCCAACCTAAGGTAGTGGTAGCTGATCAAAATACTAAGGATAGCTTTACCAGCAAGTGGAAATCTAGAATGTAGCTTCGCAATTTCTTTGCCTAATTGAGCAGTAAGATAACATTCTATATTGGCTTGTTTCTTTTTACTAATCTCTGTATTCTGTTCCTAGTCTTTAAGGAACAGAACATCTTCAATATTCAACTTGTGCTAACATCCTTTAAAAAAAAAACCACAGCCTTCTCCTTTCTATTTTCAGAAGTAGGTTATCTTCTGAAAAATCTGTTATTTCTTAACATTTACTTGTCCTTACCCAAATTCTTGAAATTTCTAAACCCTGGGGATAGATAGAATGCAAGTCACTATTGACTGGATTTTCTTCATTTTGTTCTTAGCAAAGTATTATCAAGGTAAGCAAGGGAAATATAAAGAAGGCCAGATTTTCTGAAAGCATTCTGGGAAACTGGCAGCTTTAAATAGCTGTTGTGTCCTGTTTCCTGGCTAAGAGACAGCCGGCACAAGTTTGGGACACTAGAAAAAAGCACATTTATGTACTATTGCCATTTTAGAAAGCTTTGATATGAATTCAAATGATACCTCTGTTACTTAAAGCCAAGAATTTTAAAGCATTGGCTTTTTTAATTAATTAATTTTTAGTTTTCAACATTCACTTCCATAAGCTTTTGAGTTTTAAATTTTCTCCCCCTCCCTCACCACCTCCTTTCCCAAGACGGCATGCAATCTGATATAGGCTCCACATATACATTCCTATTAAACATGTTTTCACATTAGTCATGTTGTAAAGAATTAGAACCAACAGGAGGAACCATGAGAAAGAAGAAACAAAATGAAACAGAAGAAAAGAAAAAGAGTAAATAGTATGCTTCAATCTGCATTCAGACTCCATAGTTCTTTTTCTGTATGTGTATAGCATTTTCTGTCATGAGTCTTTTGGAGATGTCTTAGATCCTTGCATCGCTGAAAAGGGCTAAGTCTATCACTGTGTACAGTGTTCTCCTGGTTCTGCTCACTTCACTCAGCATCAGTCCACACGAGTCTTTCTAGGTTTTTCTGAAGTCTGCCTGTTCATCATTTCTTATAGCACAATAGTATTCCATTACATTCATATACCACAGCTTGTTCAGACATTCCCCAATTGATGGGTATCCCCTCAATTTCCAATTTTTTGCCACCACAGAAGAGCTGCTATAAATATTTTTGTACATGTGGGTCTTTTCCCATTTTTATGATCTCTTTGGGATACAGCCCTAGAAGTGCTGTTGCTGGGTCAAAGGGTATGCACATATTTATAGCCCTTTGGGCAGTTCCAAATTGTTCTCCAGAATGGTGGGATCAGTTCACAACTCCTCCAACAAAAGCACTGTTTTAATCGCCACTTAAAAATCTCTGTATACTGTGTCAATTTGTAAACGTTTCAGTTATTAAATAAAACACATGTCATTTTAAGACTTCAAAGCATAAACATGCTTCAAAATTATTTTGTGTGTTTGAGTTCATTTTAAAGATGTAAAATGTATACTTGTTTCGATATTTTGTTAGCTGTATTTTCCATGTGTGAGTTCTGTGTAATATTTTCATTATATCTATTATGAAGATAATGACAGAAAAACCCACAGTACTTAAAATTTAGGCATATAAACATCCTTGCTCAATAAACCAATTCCCTAATAAATAAATAAGTAAACAAACAAACAAACAAATAAATGGGGCAGCTAGGTGGCCCAGCAGATAGAGCATTCACCTTGTAGTCAGGAGGACCTGAGTTCAAATTTGACTTCAGACATTTGACACTTACTAACTGTGTGATCCTAAGCAAGTTACTCACTTAACCCCAATTGCCTTGCCAAAACAAAACAAACAAAAAACCAACGTGTTACAGAGAAAGGATACATACTGTATTTTTTTTTATCAGTTACCTTATATATAAACTTCGTCATGTAACTTTTTAACCAGGTGTGCTGGATGAATGTAAAATCTGTATGGCATAAATTTTGTTATTATAAGAATAAGTCACAAAGTATAGTCATTTGAACTTACAATTAATCTTCAGCTAAAGGCATTTATTTCATACGGTATCTCAACAGCTGTGATCTTTTATGTAAATTCAAGCCTAAGCAATTAAGAAAATTGGCACTTTAAAATTTAGATTATGAGATTTTATAAAGATAACACCTGATAATACATGTATTAAGAAAAAGGAGGGGCAGCTAGGTGGATAGAGTGGATAGAGCACCAGCCCTGAAGTCAGGAGGACCTGAGTTCAAATTTGACCTCAGACCAAACACCTGACACTTACTAGCTGTGTGACCCTGGGCAAGTCTCTTAAACCCAATTGCCTTTAAAAAACAACAACAAGATTTTCTGTTTCAATTTTGGAATCCTAACCTATTCAAATTCTTTGACAAATTCTAGTCAAAGGATCAAGTGAATAGAAGACTTCACCTTACAATACATACCTACTGACTTCTGTCCAAAATGGTTATGTGATTGAAATGGTTATACAACCACACAACTAACTTTTATAGTCAAAATTATACAAGTTAATAACAAGACAAAGAAGAACTAGCCATTGAAGTAGTGACAAAGTCCTTTTCTAAATTGTGGGCTAAAGAAATTTATTCCATAAAACAGCATAGAATCAAAGTGCTTGTTTAGATGAAGTTTTAAATATACATGGAGTTTCACCACTTCTATTAAGATTAAGATGATTGAACTTATCAAATGGTTCCCCAACTGGTAAATGGTCAAAGGATATGAACAGGCAGTTTTCAGATGAAGAAATTAAAGCTATCTATAGTCATGTCAAAAAATGCTATAAATCACTGTTGATTAGAGAAATGCAAATTAAAACAACTCTGAGGTACTACCTCACAGCAATCAGATTGGTTAATATGATAGAAAAGGAAAATGACAGATGTTGGAGAGTATGTGGAAAAATTGGAACACTAATGCATTATTGATGGAGTTGTGAACTGATCCAACCATTCTGGAGAGCAATGCGGAACTATGCCCAAAGGGCTATAAAACTGTGCATACGCTTTGATCCAGCAATACCACTACTAGGTCTGTATCCCAAAGAGATAAGAAAAAAGAGAAAAGGACCTGCATGTACAAAAATATTTACAGCAGCTTTTTTTTGTGGTGGCAAAGAATTGGAAACTTAGAGGATGCCCATCAACTGGGGAATGGCTGAACAAGTTGTGGTATACGGATGTAATGGAATACTATTATTTCATAAGAAATGATGAGCAGGCAGATTTCAGAAAAACCTGGAAAGACTTACATGAATTGATGCTGAGTGAAGTGAGCAGAACCAGAAGATTGTGCACAGTAACAGCAACATTGTGCAATGATCGACTTTGGTAGACTTAGCTCTTTTCAGCAATACAATGATCTAACAATTTATTGGATCTAGATATCTAAAAACCTAAATAAAAAACAATAAATTACATCTAAATCCTTATTTGTTCTGTGAGGGGCCATACTTGAGGACCTAGAGGGCCACATGTGGCCTTGAAGCACTAGATTCCCCAATCCTGACAATTTCAAAAGACTCGTGACAGAAAATGCTATCCACATCCAGAGAAAGAACTATGGAGTCTGAATGCAGACTGAAGCGTGCTATCTTCTTTTATGTGTGTGTGTTTTTCTTTCTCATGATTTTTCCCTTTTGCTCTGATTCCAATGTAGAAATAGCTTTAATATGATTGTGTGTGTATGGCCTATATCAGATTGCTTGCCATCTTGAGGAGGGGTAAGGGAAGAGAGGGAGAAAAAAAATTGGAACTCAAAATCTTTTAAAAAATGCTGAAAAATAAATAAAAAAGAAAAAA